CACACACACACACACACACACACACACACACACACACACACACACACCATCCCCTGGCTTATTAGAGCACAGGTCACTATCCAACATTATCTCAGTCATTCAAGAGCGTTTATTTGTTCCTTGTTAGTCTCACTCACTAGAGTATAAGCTCCATGAGGACAGAGATCTCATCCATCTTGTTTGCACCATAGCCTCAGCACTCAGGACAGTTCCTGGGGCACATTAGATACTCAATAAATATTCATGAAGTAAATGAACACTCACACAGGCCTCTAGGAGCCGACTGCCTTCACCCATCTCAATGAGCAGGATACCTGAGCAGACAGAACATGGGCCAAAGGGTGAAAAAAGCCTTTCTGATGCCTGCCTTGAGTCCCTGGAGCTGTCCACATACCCCTACCCTCTGGGGATCATGCTGGGGGCTTCCTCCAGCCCTCCAAGGTGTGGAACAACCTTAGAAGTTGATCGCTCCTATGCTCATTCCTTCAGGCTCAGGTTTCTCTTCTCCACAGTGAATTCATTCATCAAGCAAGTGTTTATTGAGGGCCTACTATGTGTTGGAAGCTGGAACACATGGGGAAAAACATATCCTCATGGAAGGAAAGCATAAACAACCATGCCATCAAAATGGTAGATGAAACCTGAGGGATCTCCAAGATACCTCCCACCACATTTCTCCCACAGTATGTGCAGACCTCTAATGAGAACTCCCTTTAGAGAGCAAACACGGGAACTAACATTAGACACCAAGGGCTGTGCTAAGCCCTTTGTGTACATTATCACCTGCGATCCTCTAACAGCCCCATGAGGAATCATTGTCTCCATGAGCACAAGCAAAAAGGGGGCTCAGAGAGGTGAGGTGCTTGCAGAGCTGAAGTCCGAGCCAGGTCTCTGTCACGAAGTGCAGGTTCTTCCATCAGCACTACCTACCTGTCCTCCTGAATTAGCAGTGACTTTAATCATGGAAACCTCTGGCTACGATAAGAAGAGATGATTGGTGCCCACAGAGCCAGGAAGGGAGATGTATTTCAGTTGGTGGGCCCTGCCAAGCCCCTCCAGTTCCATCCAGAATTAGGCTGCCTTCTTTTTCCACCGACCAATTGTTGTCCTTACAATTATGGTGAGAAAGAAATTATGTGGAATGAGAACCAAAAGCCCAGAGACACAACATCATTCCCTCGCCTGCCTGGAAAAAAACAGTATCTCATTCCTCCAGCCCTCCTCCCACTCCTATTTTCATGTCACTCTTATTTCATGAGTAAAAGACCAAGGGATGGATCAGACTTGCAACTGTAGCCTGTGTTTCTGGGAAACACTGGACAATGGGCATGATGAGATCACTGGAGTTACCTCCCTGAGAGTCAGGTCAGACAAGGCAGTAGGGTTTGGACAGTTGCTGGTGTTGGCTCAGATTTGTCCAGCCAGAGACAAACAATTCAAGAAAACGCATTTTCTGGAGTTGAAGCAGTGGATGCCATGACGATCAGTGCCCAGGCGAATGCTCCTAGCAATCTGGCCAAGGGTGCATTCGTGCCCCTTATCAGCACTCCCAGCTGTTCCGCGGTTCCTTCCACATTTCTACTCTTTCAGTCCCACATCTAGTCTCTTGGTTTTTCTGTGCACCCGTCGTCTATAACCTTTCCTCTCCTTTCAGTGTTCCTATTCAACCCCAGGCTATGACAACCCACCTCTTCCCTCATTCTAACAAACTAGTCTGCAGCTTGGACAGGCCACTCGGATTCTGGGAATTTCACAATTACTGACTTGCAGGTACCTTGAAAATAAAGTAGAAACTCCAGACTTTCCTGTCCCTCCAACCCATAGGACTCCTGCCAGCATCAGTGGGGATACCACCAAGAGAGCCCTTGCCTGGGGGTCTGAGTGAGCTTCCCATCTCTGCTCTGCTGCTCTTGTTTGGACAAGCCCATTGCTGTCTTGGAGTAAGCGTTCTGCCTCTATGAACTGGTGGGCCAGTCAGTGTTTCTTTTTCTTTTAGGATCTTTTCAGCTATAAAACCATAGACTCCTTTGGCTTCACTCACATCTCAGGCTCCTCCTACCCAGAAAAATCCCTTGCTTGCTGTATCTCTTAACTGATTCATTAAGCATTAACCCATGCCTTCAGGGGGTAAAAATTGGCTCTTGGACGAGGTGAAAAAAATCAATCTTTTTGTGTATAAAACCCAGATATACACAAAGTGCATAAACATATATACACTATACTATAATATTAAAATTAAAATTTCATGAGGGAGTGTAATTAGGCGGGAAAAATGTAAAAAGCCTCCTTAGAAGCCATAATGAAAAAAAGAAGTTGAGAAACATGGATTTAACCACAAAGGGATGTTGGGTACCATGGTAGGTACCAGACAGGTGAATGACAATTTTCTCTTTCTTCCAGGAGCCAAAGTAGAGGGATGACCATTATTTTTTGTTCTTCCAAACCATGTGTCCTCTCTTTTCTTCTAAATCTTACTACATGCTACTTTCAGTGGGTTTATGTGTACAGTTACATATTCTGGTGGTCACAGCTTGTATTTTTGTGTCTTTTCCTCCCTCTAGCTATGGAATTGCTGGCTCTACCAACGTGACGGGTGATCAAGTGAAGAAGCTGGATGTCCTCTCCAATGACCTGGTCATTAACGTATTACAGGCATCCTTTGCAACCTGTGTTCTTGTGTCAGAAGAAAATAAACAGGCCATAATCGTGGAGCCTGAGAAAAGGGTGGGTCTACACTTCCACTACCCAGGGTTTTAATGAAACCATTTTTCTTCCTAGTTACATAAATGACTCCAATTGTTCAGCTAAGCTATATTCCTAGGAATCACCCTAGGTCCCTCTTGAACCAGGCAGGAGTCATCCTTTCACATATGCATCCTCACTACCATATTACAAACTGTCCTTCCCTGTCCACCCCACCACCATAGTTCATGTCATTATCATCTCTCCCGTGTAGTCATACATGGGAGATACTCAGATATACTCATACTAATCTCCACTCCTAGCATTGTATTGTCATGTTCAAGGTTCTTTAGAGTCTGGCTTCTGTTAACTACCTCTTTGCTTCATCTCTATCTACCAAATTCTCACCCTTCACACCCAACTCTCCTGCCAATCTAACCACTCTCAATTCCTATCACTGATTTATGCATTAGAACCCATTTGGAATCCTATTACTCTGATTGGTTCCTGAGGGCAGAGAATGAATTATATTCTTCTTTATATTCCAGCATCTAGCACAATATGTGGCCCATTGTAGGGGTCAATAATAAATTATTGTTGCAAAAGGGAATGAAAAGAATACATCCAGCTTTTATAGAACAACAACAATCATATGATTAAAAAAACTTGAAATGAGAAGTGCATTTATATGGGCTTACTATCTTTTCCTGTTTGAGTCGAATTGGGGACATGAGGGAGTAGAATTAGGAAAAAAATGATCAGAAGATGAATTTAAAGAGGCTGCCTAATAACCAGTCTTGACCTTTTGAAGAGCATAGGAAGCCGCATCTGATTAATTTGTTTTACACCTTTCTAAAATACTTCTACATGTCAGACTCAAAGTTCATGTTATTCTCTGCTGGGTTTCTCAAGGCAGTTTTAGGCATGTGGATTGAATTTGTTGTTCAATATTCTGTATCAGTCAGCCCAACTTCTCTGACTACAATGTGCCTTCTTAATAGGCATGTTCCTGTTTTCCAGAAACTTCCTTATGCAGTTTCTTCTGCATCAGCCAGAGTGACTTGTTAAGAGCAAGTGGTCAGGGAATCAGAGAATCGTCTTAATTTGGTGCAGAAATCTTAAAGCAGCTAATTTGGAGCTGGAAAACTTCCCAGTACTGTGCAAGTGGTCAGGGAATCAGAGAATCGTCTTAATTTGGGCAGAAATCTTAAAGCAGCTAATTTGGAGCTGGAAAACTTCCCAGTACTGTGCTGGTGAACGAACTAGTTCTCTCTTGAAAAAAAAAATCTCTGATTTCTAGCAATTGTCAATATCAACTGTGTAAATACTCTCCCATAGTTGACTTCAAGCTACCAACACGACATCATTGAAGGCAGAGTTGGAAGAAATGTGCACAATTAGCTCTTGAGAGCAGGTACCAGCCACCCCGGGAGACCACTGACAATTCCATTCAAAGAATGAATCTTTGGTAGTCCCACTACAACAGTGGTTTATTTCCTATGGGAATTCCAGTTGGGATATTGTTGAGAACTCAGCACTGCAACTCCAAGTTGCATAGACCTGCATGAGAAGTTCTTATAGATCTTAATGTTGTCTTTGCTTAACCTAAAGAGTTATGTCTTTTTCCCTTACCAATAATGAAAAATAAATGACTAACCTTGTTTCTCTTCTTTCTTTGGTTGCTAGGAAATTCAAGCCAAAATTATGATTCATCTATATTAACGATATAGGAAATTATGACTTATTTATCTGTATTCCATCACCTTTGCTTACACCTCCTATTCTAAGTTGTGTTTTCTCTGTCTAATGATCATTAGAATATCACCGTATATATGTATGTATGATCTCGAAAAATGTATACATATTTTAAGAAAGAAAAAAACTATTAAAATTGTAATACTCAATATATACCAATAACAAAAGATGACTACAAATCACATTTTGACTTCTGCAATTACAAGAGGTGCTCAAAGTGGTTACCATCAGTGACCAGACACTTCTGATTATGGCGAACTACTGCTTGAGCAACATTGACCAAAGTGTCCACTTGTATACATTTTGTTTTGGCACCCCCAGTATATATGTATATATATCATTGTTGTTTTCATTCTGAATGCCACTCATACCTTCCATGACAGGGTATAAATAAGACTCATATTTCTTGCACTTTCCCCTAGATTCCCCTTTTTACCCCCTTAGTGTATACTCTTTATTTTCTTAAATGTGTTTATTTTTAAAGTAAAGTTGTATTTTTTGTTGTTTAGGGTAAATACGTGGTGTGCTTTGATCCCCTTGATGGATCTTCAAACATTGACTGCCTTGTGTCCATTGGAACTATTTTTGGCATCTACAGAAAGGTAAAATATAATGTATCTAGCCCCTGGTTTGGGATCAGAGGGGACATTAAGGTTGCGCATCCAGACCTGTTTTATTATTGGTGGAGCCACCAGAATGTATATCATGAAACTCTGTGGGGCTTGATGTAGGTTTATGTCTTGAGTTCTTTTTCAGCATTAGCTACATAGTGAAGACCCATTAAGTTGTTAAAAGAAATGAAGTAAAACATGGGTGGGAAGAAAAACATTTTACTCTTTTAACTATATCTTGCTTTCTTTTGTAATAGAAAATGAAATTAAAAATAAAAGAGTCAGTAGAGGGCAGTTACAGTAATGATACTAAGTAAACTGAGAATTGTGAGAGTGTGACAACAGTAGAGATTATATATGCCAAAATTGTCCTTTAGATCTCCTAATTCAGGGGCCTGTAAACTATGCCTTCCCCTGGACCAAATCCAGCCTGTTACCTGATTTGTATGGCCTGTGAGCAAAAAAATAACCCTCCTGCATTTTTAAATGGCAGGAAAAAAATCTAAAGAATACTATTTTATGCTATGACATTTATATGAAATTTAATTTTCACTGTTCACAAGTAAAGTTTTAATGACATATGGCAAACTCATTTGTTTATACGTTGCCTTTGGCTGACTTCATGATGCATTGGCAGGGTTAGGTGGTTGTGATAGAGACTGCATAGCCTAGAATGTTTACTATCTGTTCATTTATGGAAAGAGCTTGCTGCACGCTACTGCAGCATGGGGACCTGCCCTGGGTCTGCCATCTGTGTGACCTGGCAGGTAACTCTACCTCCAGAACCTCTCTTTACTTCTTTTTCTTGAAATCTTTATGTGTGCATGCATGCGTGGGTGATGGTGGTGGTGGTGGTGGTTATGGTGGGTGGGTGGTGGAAGACCACTCAAGTATACAGACAAAATAGAATGAATACCTGTAGATCCATCATAAAACAGTATGAAATCTAAAATATGTCATCTTGGCTTCAGCCTTTCTTGTTTAATTTAGAAATAAAACTTCACAGATGCTGCTGAGGCTGAGCCAGTTTCTTTATCTTAAAGAACAAGATGGCTGGTCCAGCCAACTGTCAAGATTTCTCCCAACTCTCCTATTCTAGGATGCAGTGGCCATAATTTAAGTAGTAAAACCCTAATTTTCACTTTATCCTTCAAAATGACTTGTTGTCTGGTATTGTACATAATCTTATTTCAAACATATGGAGAGTAGGACCACCATGGGGCTGTAGTCTTTCCTCATTGGAGTGGTTTTTGCTTTTTTCTTGGCTGAGCACGGCATCCACATCCAAATTGATTTGAGTAATAGAAGGTTCTAGCTCATACCAGAAAGGCAAAGGCAAGAATTTACCTATTTTCCAAGTTATACCATAAAACATACCATTCCTCTTATAGACCTGGAGGCAGGTAATTTTACCTGCTAAGTATCAAATCTATAGTACATCAAGAGAGGTTTGTAGCAAAAGTTTTCATGTAAAGGAAGACTGCCGGTTAATGATTCAACCAAAACTAAAGCAGTGCAAATGTTTGCTAGCCCCAGTCTCCACCTCAACCTCCACCCTATCCCAAATAAAGATTCTTTGAAGGAAGAAACGAAATAAAACTAGAAAACTGAAAAACACTGGCTATCTACTAAAAAAAAATCAAACCAGCTTGCAACAGCAACTTGAATTACGGATGCTACAACTCAACAATGAGTCTCCGCACTCCTCTCAATAAACCTGAAGTGACCCTCTTAAAATACTGAAAAAAATAAAAAAGATGAATGTGACACTGCCTTTAAGTCATTTCAGTTTTCGGAAGGCTCATTGATTGTTTAAAACAGTTCAAGGGCTTATGGGGCATCAACATCGATGTGCCTGATGCTTCAAAGGTGACCTTTCCTGCTTTCTGCAGAGTTGGTTCTAGGCTATAATTCAGTTCTCTGGGGCACCTGCTCAGGGGCACAGCACCTGCAACTGGAATCAGCAATAATATCAGGCTGTGCCCACACGGTGCCTGGAAACAGGCTCCGAAGGGACCTGAAAGGGCATGTGGCCCAGTGTTCCATGCAGTTCCCACTGCAGCACCTTGGGAGGGGTCATCCAGCTTCTGGCTGGGGACATCCACAAAGGGTAGCATTCCCCTGAGGTGGTGGGCAACCATCGTGGTTAGAATGTTTGTCCAAACACTGAGTCAAAACCTGTCTCCCTCGGGCCGGCCGAGTGGCGCTTTGGTTAAGAGTTGGCTTGGGACGCCAGCTCTGAGCAGCAGGGCCCCGGTTCGGATCCCACATGAGGGCCAGTGATGCTGCGCCCTCTACAG